AGTGATGCTTCCACAACATTCCAACAAATGGTGGTTTTCTCCTCTTTTCCTTCCTTTCCTTCAACCTACTGATAGAGTAGCATTTATGGTCAGGGTTGAAACTAGAACCAAAAGGTAGGTATGGGGTTTTGCCTAATTTATCCCTGATTTTTCAAGAATATTTATTTATTTATTTATTTGTTTGTTTGTTTGTTTGTTTGTTTTTATCTATTTTTATTTCACTAAATCAATGTATACATTTTAGTTAATTTGCTTGACTTCTTTGAATTTTGACACAACTATGTCCTCTTTTTTCAAATAATTTTTCTTTAGCCTTAATAAATACTCATTCTCATAATTATTTTGTTAACCTTTGGGATATCCAGTTACTGAAAACCACTGTTTCATATATTTTTGTCTGCTTTATGTCAAGAGGTGAGGTAAATCTTGTCTTGTTACTCCATCGATGAAGGAGGCAGGAGTTTGAGTAGTCTTTTAAAGTATTAGACGAGGGTGGGTGGGTGAGCGGGGAGAGATTAAGCAAGAATCTATATGCATATATGCATAACCCATGGAATCAGACAGTGGCGCGGTGAAGGCCTGGGGCAGGAGGGGGGGTGTGGGTTAGAAGGGGTCAAGGGAAGGAAAAAAGGGACATCTATAATACTTTCAACAATAAAGATAAGTTAAAAAAATAAAATAAAACAAAACAATTGTACTGGGCCCTGGCCTGGTAGCTCAGCTGGTTAGAGTATTGTCCTAATATGACAAGATTGTCAGTTCCCTGGTCAGGAGGACACATACAAGAAGCAACCAATGAAAGCATAAATTAGTGAAACAACAAACAGAAGTTTCTCTCTCTCTCTCAAATTAATAAAAATTAAAACAGTTGTATTGGCATTGAAGGAGCACTCATCATGAAAGTACTTATTATTGTAGCTACTTTAGCTTTCTTTTGATTAGTTATTAGCATGATATATGTTTCCCCATCCCTTTAATTTTAGTCTATATGTGTCTTTCTATGAAAAGTGGGTTTCTGGTAGAGAATATATAATTGGGTCTCATTTTTGAATCCACTCTTACAATCTGTGTCTTTTTATTGGTGTATTTAGACCATTGACATTTAAAGTAATAATTGATATAGCAGGGTTAATATATACCATAACTTACTGTTTTCTACTTATTACTCTTGTTCTTGGTTCCTTTATTGTCTTCCACTAATTTCTGCATTTTGTGGTTTTAATTGAGCATTTTATAATTCCATTTTCTCTCCTTGGCATGTTCATTTTACTTAAAAAACAAACCTGTTTTACTGGTTGCCATAGAGTGTGCAATATGCATTTACAATTAATTCAAGTTATTTTCGAGTAGCAGTGTACCACTTCACAGGCAGTGCAAGTACTTCATGAGAACAAAATATGTATCCGTAATGCCTCGCTCCCATCCCTTGTATCGCTGGTGTCATTCATTTCACTTGTACATAGCTTTAATGATCAAATACCTTGCTGGTATTATTTTGAACAAGGTGTTACCTGTTATATCAATTAAATATGAATAATAAAAGTTTTTTACTTTAACTTCACTTATTCCTTTTCTAATGCTCTTTCTTTATGTAGATTTGAGTTTCTGATTTATCATTTTCCCCTTTTGGGGAGGGGAAAACTTCTTTTAACATTTCTTTGAAGGCAGGTCTGTTGGTAACAAATTCACTCAAAATGTGTTTGGAAAGTCTATTTCTCTTCCCCTTTTGAAGGATAATTTTTCAAGATACAGAATTCTAGGTTTGATTTTTAAAAATTTTTTATCATTTGAAACACTTCATTCTCTTCTTGCTTGCGTGGTTTCTGAGAATGGACATCATTCTTTGTTCGTCTATACACGTAAGGTATCTTTTTACTTTGTTTCTCTCAATATATTTTTTAGTCTCTGACTTTTTGCAGTTTGAATATGATACCTATGTATAGTTTTTGTTGTTGTTTTCTTTTCTTTTTTTTTTTTTTTTACCCTTGTTCTGCTTCATGTTTTCTAAACCTCTGGGATCTGTGCTTTGGGAAATTCTCAGTCATTATTGCTTCAAATATTTCTTTTGTTCCAGGTCTCCTTTCCTTTTCTCCTTCGGATAATTTCATTACACATGTTATGTCTTTTGTAGTTATCCCACAGTTCTTAGATATTCTGTTCCCTTTTTTCCAGCCTTTTTTCTTTGCTTTGCAGTTTATATTGGCATATCCTCAAGCTCAGAGATTCTTTCCTCTTATGTCCAGCCTCCTAATGAGCCCACTCAAGGCCTTCTTCACGTCTGTTACAGTGGATTTGACCTCTAGCATTTGTTGTTTTTTAAAAATTATTTTTTAGAATTTCCATCTCTCTGCTTATGTTTCCCATCTGTTCTTGCATACTCTCTACTTTTCCTAATAGAGTTCTTAGCATATTAATCATAATTGTTTTAGATTCCTGGTCTGAAAATTCCAACATCCCTGCCATATTTTCACCTGGTTCTGATACTTGTCCCTTTTTTTTCTTTTTCCAAACTGTGTGTTTTGCCTTTTAGTATGCCTTGTGGTTTTTTTGTAGAAAGCCAGACATGATGTTCTAGGTAAAATGAACTGTGGTAAATAGGTCTTTAGTAATTTGGTGGTAAGGTGTGGGAGGAGGGGGAAAGTTCTACAGTCCTGTGATTAGGTCTCAGTCTTTTAGTGAGGCTGTGCCCCTGGGCAGTGCCCCTGGGCTTCCCTACCATCCCTTGCCCGTTAGGTGGGACAGGATGGCCAGAGCTGGCTGGAGTTGCACATTTCCCTTAAGTTGGTTAGGCTCTGATGTTGCCCCCATAATTTAGGTTCTGCTAAAAGAGTTTCTGAGGCAGGCCTTGTTACGAAAGACAGAATGCTTTGATGTATTTCAAAATGGTTACTTTTCCCTTCCCCTTGCTGGAAGCAGGAAGGGATTTTTCTCTGATATTCACTGTGACATTTTCTGATAGTCACTGGTAGAGCCCCTGGCAGTAAAACTCACAAAAGTGTTGGGCTCTTCTGGTTTTTAACTCTCAGACTTGTCCATGTTGAGCCTCCAGGAATTCATCAAGGATAGTCAGGTTTTTCTATTCTGTACTGGTTCCCAGAGAAGTTTCTGCTCCTGGGCTTCTGATCCATCCAGTAATTTATGATTCTCTGTATCCTCCTATCTTTCTCTCTAATTTTGGGGGTAGCAGTTTGTTCTATGACCTCATTTCTCTAACAGATATCAAAAGAGTTGTTGATTTTTCAATTTGTTCACCTTTTTATCTGTTAAGACAGAATGATGACTTCCAACCTCCTTACATGCCAGAATGGAAACTCAAAGTCTCTGAAAGTACACATAATTAAATGTAAGTTATTCACAATTAATGCTTTTCTGTGATGCTGCTATTTCTAATTTTACCAGGCTTTTAGCCTTAGGGAATATGGAAAAGAACTCCCTGTGTTTTGAAAAGCTTTGCAGAGGGAATAGCATGACTAGCACTGTTTACAAAATTAAGCTAACTCATATTTTGTGAATGCCTGTATGTGTCAGGCACTTCTCTAGGTAATTTGACATATATTAATCTTATTTAATATCTATGTACATTCCTCATTTTCACATGGGAAGGACATAGGCTGAAGGAATTTGTATTCTTGTTTGCTGCTAAGTTATGCTATTGGTAGTCGACAGAATCAGGTTTGAACGTGGTCTTTCTGACTGACTTTATTCCCAGTTGATAATCATGCTTCTCATCTGAGCATTCTTTCTTCTCTGGTTTCTAAAATAGTCATGGTTGTCTTTGACCTTTCAGAGGTAAAGGGATTATTCTGAAAAGCTTAAGTATGCTGGAAAAAAAAGAGATTCTTTATCATAAAATTCCTACATTTTGTCATGGTTATTAGAATGTGGAATTACAATGACTACTAAAAACGAGTGGTAAATGTTATTTTTCTAAAATTATATTAATGATCTGAGCACCTTGAGAAACAACTGTCAATAAAATTTTATACAAGCTAAACTTTAATTTAGTTACTCTGCTTCTATTTATAATCTTTAATTACTGAAGGATAAATACTGTATTTTTGTGTTTATTGATATTACTTTTTGTTCTATCTACTTTGGATGCCCCGAGACTGTAGAATAAAGATAGTTTTACTCTGAGAAGGTTGATAAGACTTCAGAGTGAGCAAGAGGATGTGGTCTTCAGCTTTCCAGAAATTATACACCAGTTTTCAAATATGCTAAAATAATATAAATTATTACATTAATAGATATTAAATTTTTTGATAAATGTATCTGGTATTATGAGGAAGATAGGTAGATAGCATAATTCTGCTATCCATCCCACTTTGTTGAAACTCCCATGAGTTCTGAGGAGCTTTGTTTGGAAATTTTGTTTAAGGAAAATTTTTTTGATATTTGAGATCAGATGGTCAAGAACCAAGAGACTTGAAGTAGGGACATCTTTCTAGTTCTGGAATTTCTCCTAAGTTCTGAACTAGAGGATGTGCCTTTTTAGCATCAGTATGATTTGATTCTGTATTTTATGATACATGGGCCACTATTAATTATCTTCTTTCAATAATAACCTTAAAGAAGTAGGCAGGTACAGTAGAAAGAGCATTGGCATGAGGCAAATCTGGAGATATATATATCTACATATCTATCTCTATCTCTATCTCTATCTCTATCTCTGTCTCTATCTCTATCTCTATCATCTCTATCTATATACATACATACACACACATATATATGTCAACTTTCTGCATCTGTTTTGTTTTTTCAAAATAATAGGCATAATAACTATCTTACAGAAATGTTATGGGGATTAAATGAGATACTACAACTGTGGCTATATAACTATAGCCTGATCCTTTCCGGGCCTTCTCCATTCATTTTGCTCATACATGTTTATTGATTATCTATTAGGTGATCGAGGCACTGAGAACACAGCAGGAAATAAAACGGTTCTGTTTCCCATGCTTATTAGGGGAGATGAGCATTAAAGAATCATAACCGCATGAATGAGCTCTCACAGGCTTATATATGAAGAAGGAAAAGTAGAGGGATGGGCAGATAAGGTCGAGAAGAAGCAGAGAAGCGGGACTGAAACGAGGAGATTACGGTGGCGCGGAAGCAAGAGACGGGAACGCTGAGCACCCGTGGCCGTTGAGAACTGCTGAGAGGCCAAGCAGGTGACGAGTGGCGAGGGCCCTGTGCCCCGCAAGGGCGGGCTCACTGGTGACCTTAGGTGTGGTAAGTGGACAGAGGGAATAGAAGCCTGCCCGACGTGACTGTTAGATGAGGCAGTGGAGACGGAGTGTGTAGACAGCTCCTGCTGGCATTTGCCTGTGAAGCAGAGATAAGAAAGAATAGCATATTGAGAGGGGTGAAAGAAAACTTTGCAAGATCACAGACACTAGAGCTTGCTCATGGCTTATGACAAGGGATCAGTCAAGAGTAAAAGACTAAAGAGATAGCAAACAGAGGGGATACCTGCTTTTTTCTATCAGAATCTCTCCTCTTGCTTTCCACAAACAAATCGAATTTCAAATGTCTATAGTTCAGGTGAGAATCTGACAGTCTCAGAACCTACTGACAGACAAAAACACAGGTCTCTTTACCTGACAGTGTGTTGAAGCCTGATGAACTCTCCGTTTTATAAGAGGAGAGCAGGCATTGAATGAAGTTGACATATATTTTAAAATACACAAAATTACATAATTTGGGGGTATTGTTTAAAAGTTCATACCACTCAATTGATTTTTAAAAAATTCTACAGATACAAAAACCATTAAGAGGGAACCCCTGGGAAGCTTGGAATTTTGAAAGATGCCACTCCACCTGTTTTAGGATATCAAATGATTGAAGTCATTACTGATAATAATGTGGATTTTGCCTTTAGAATTTAAGCATTGTGCTTCTGACTTCATTATTGATGCATGAAAACTTGAATGATCTCTAAGGAGTTTAACATTTGCAATGTGGTGATTATCAAGTAGGGAAAACATATTTGTCTCAGTTGTTAAACATTTCTAAACTTAGTGAGAATTTTGAAGATAATATAAGAAAAAAACCAAATTTTAGAATATGAAGTTTTATTATTAAACCAAATAGCCAGAGGTGTTACTTTTTTCAGGCTTATTTTGTCATTCTGTTTCAGAGCATTGTTTTTGTTAAAACATGACTATAGATATGTTAATCTAGCAAAAGAGAAAACTAATCAATGCTAAGGTCACTTTGCACTCTTAAGATTCCATAATTCTGCATTAAGTTCCTTCCATAGGAGACTTTTAAAGGCTTCAGAGACTTGGTCTCAGTGTTGCAGATGTGCTTTGTGAATCAGAAAGATTCATATTGATATTAGCATAGAACCATGGAATTTTAAGCCAGGAAGGGACTTTAACAATCATTCCTTTAGGAATGATTCTTGCTCTCAAACTAAAAACGGACTGGAAATGCTATGCAAATTTTTTTGATATGTGCATGTGTTCAGATACTCATAAATTTCATCAGATTCTTAAACTGGTGGACATTAAAAAGCATCTAAAACTACATTTATAGAGGAGAAAAGTAATGCCTTGAGAACCAAGGCCTTTACCAAAATCGCACAAAATTTTAGTGGGAGCAATTTATAATATGATATATACCTCATTCTGAAGTCCATATAATCAGAACAGACACATTACTATTTTCTTTACTGCTCCAGTCATTTATCAGGCTGTTTGTCTGTTGTATGACTACTATTTAGGTGCTTTGGCAAAGCTTTACTTTTTATATGAGAGATATTCAAAGAGTAAGGGGAGGTGGACATCTTCATCTTTACTGGGAAAAATAAAGAAAAAGCTATTAAAAGTTTATCAACTTAGATGCTGAGAGGAGAGATACATTAGCATTTTGCATTGCACTAACCCCATGCTAATATGATCAATTCAAACCTGAGAAGAAATAGAACATGTCCACTATTTTCCCGTTTTTCTATTTCAGAAGTGAATTGAATAGAAATATTTTAAAAATGTATCTTTATTGTTGAAAGTATTACAGATGTCCTCTTTTCTCCCCCATTGATCCCCTCCCCCAGCTGCTATTTCCATTGATTTAATGAGTTTTTTGATGGACCCCATTGTGCCTCAGTATTAGAGAAACATATGGCACATCTACCCCTTAACTATGAATTTACTTGGCTTTTTATTGTGTGTTTTCCCCCTGTGATTCTATAGTTTCTTTAAGAAAACATATGTATATTTATATATGACATATGATTATATAATATATGACAGTTGTGCTATTTATATGGACACGTGAACAAATGGCTTTTTTTTCTTAAATGTTAATAACTGTTCTAGAAGGGAAAAAGGAAACTAGAAATTATGTAAAAACCCTCCCTCATTTGAAAGTAATTATGGATGTTAAGACTTTTTGGAAAAGTAATGCAAATATAGAAGGAGGTACAGCAAAAAAGCTTAAGGTCAGCAACTTAATCTAGTAGGCAGGGTTTCATGAAATAGTTGAATAAATGGCCTAAAAATGAAACACAGGTATTCTTATAAAGATATTGAGTCAATAAGAGATGTCTTAAGAACAGAAATGCAGTCAATCAGGGATTCAGAATAAAATGGAGAACATCAATAGATAGGCTCCTTTATTATTTTTTTCCTGGTAATGATTTTCCTGAACCTCATTTGATGATGAATCTCAAGTTAGAAGTCTGCACATAATTCTAACTACACCGTTATAGATGACTAATTATACAGCTCGATATGAGCATCGAGGAATTCCCTGGGGCCACCTGAAAGAGCCTGATGTTAGCTGCATTATGGAACTGGGTTTTGATGTGCAGCTATTATTTTCCAAACTTTGACTTTGAAGACCTTAATCAAAAACTACCACCTTCTACCAAACACAATAACCCTGTGAGAGGCCTGACAACACCAAATAGCAATCCCCTTATGCTCACCCTGAAATGAATTTCAAAACCGAAAGATGCGAATGGCTAGGGGCCAGGGAGGGACTGATTTACCAAATTTACCTCTTACTTAAAATCCTTGTGAATGGAAGCCATTTCTTTTTACTCACACAGCTTTTTAATTGGGACACTTATAATGAAAACCCCAGGAGATAGCCCCTGGCACAGCACAGGACAGAAGGAAAAAAGACAGGAATGTATAGGAACTTTCAAAGTTAATTTCATCATTTTTATAACAATAATGGACAGAAAATTGTTTTCTAGGTCCTGTGGCAATTCCTCGTGAACACGTAGGGGTTTGAAGATACTTGAAGTATTGATTCTCATATCTTGTTTGTGTTCAATCAGTGGAACACAGGAGGAACCAACACACTAAAAGGTATCTTTTTTTTTTTTTAAGTTAACTCTTTTGTTTTCCAAAACGGGGATATAAAACTTCTCTTCTGTAAATATGTTTACTTTGTGAAAGCCTCTAAGTAAAGTTCTAATGCCAAATGTCAGGGTCTCACAACAATTACCTTGAGAAGGAAAAGCTACCTTTGAATTAAATGTCAGGCTTTGAGAGGAGTAAAATTTAGTACCTAATCTGACTTTGGTGATGCTTGAGAGTAAAAGGAAGTCATGTTTCCAGTTTCTAGTAGTGTAAAAAAATTAACAAAAAAATTTGCCTTTATTTCTGTCTTAGTTACATGGGTGAATGTGGGGAAGAAAGAGAAATCAACAAAACTCCATCATTTACCTTCACTAAATTAAAAGAAGAAATACAAAATATGGGATTTTGAATTTTTCTTTATTAGTTTTCTTCTTTAATGCCACTGTTGTTAACTGAAAGACTAGAAGCACTTTTAAGGTTGTTAGCGAGGCAGCCAGCGAGCATCCCTTCGGGTAACTGCGTGAGCAGCCACGTGCCAGGCGGCTCTGGGCCTGGTCTGCCCCACTTCCAGGGAGGGGCGTGAGCACCAAGAACTGGAATATTAGACTACCTCGAGGGCTTATGCTCTTTGAAACTGCTTTTTTACTTTCATTTGTAAAATCAGGATAATATAATTGGCCTTAATAAGGTGATTTATGAGGACATAATATACATAAAGCCCAAGCACCAGTGCACAATCCACAGTAACCTCTCTTAGAAGGGAGCTATAATAGTGAGAAAGGGGTGTCCATGTAGACCTGTCCTTTAAGGTGGTAACATTTTAGGAAGGAAATCTATTGGTTAGTGGCCATTGTCTTTTCTTTTTAAGTAACTTACCTAGGATGTATTTTTAGATTAAACTTCTTATTAAAATGCTTCATGTGATATTCATTCTGCTACGATCTTTAACAGCCACGCAAAGGGCTTTCACATATTTCCTGAGTGAAACTGTTTAGGGACTGAATTCTCAGGAGATGTTTTCACGTACATTCATTTATGAAGGGGGTTCTATTCAGCATAAGACAAATCACAATGCTTATCTCAATCCCTAAACATAAATTACTTTAAATATCCTACGAGTTAAAAACAAAACAGGAGCTTCATAAGTTCTGAGCCCCATTGCAGGGCAGACTTAGATCCATTAGAGTAAGGAAATGAAGAGCAGGGCTTTTGAGCACGTGCTTGTGCAGTTAACCACATTGGCACCAAGGCTTCTTGTTACGGTTGGTCTTTAAGTCAACAGCACTCCTTTACAACGAATTGTTTAAATCAGCAAGTTCACAAAAGGCTGTGTAGTTTACTCAAAGAACCATCAGAGTTTGTTACAATGATTGGAGCTGTTGCCAGGCTTTACTTCAAATCCCCCCAGTCATACTCAGAGCCTTGCAAAATGGTGATTATCTTTCTATGAACTGAAACTTTGGAGAATCATTTTTCTAATGGAACTTTGCATTATCACTATTATTTCAGGAGAAAGCAGCATCAATTTCCTAATAAGAAAGACACTTCTATTTAAAAGAAAAAGAAAGGATACATGAGGTGATGATGAAATGAACTGTATATTAAAATTAAAATTCATATGACCTCTTCAGGAGAAAGTTGGTAACAAGTCAAACGCTTAAAAAATATCCACAACCTTTAATTCAGTATTTTTATTGATAGGAGTTTATTCTAAAGAAATAATTTGAAATATAGAAGCCATTTTAAGCTCACATATTCTTTTTTTTTTTTTTTTTTTTAAAACAGG